GCGGGGCCACGCCCCTATCAATTATCATTCTGCCCACCCTTCCTATGGGCTCGTAGTCGAGGGCGAGTGTTGGTATCGCTCTCTCTGTCAGACTGTCTATCTGATGATAAGCTTGCCGTTCTTATAATAACCGAATTTGTTTTCACTTTTCAGTTTCTGTAAAGTTTCTCTCTGTTTCTTTGTAAGGTCGTTAGAGATCCCATACCCAATACATTTCAGTTTATGTCTCAGACTAACCACCCATGACTTATCTCCTGGGTACATAAATTTCACTATCATGGGTCTGGGTGATCTTTTACCTGTTGAGCCCAGGCGATAACAGTATTTTTTTCATCAATAACGGACCCATAGTCAAATCTATATATAGCTACCACTACCGCCAAAGGGTGTTATTGGAATTTTTTTTCAGCACAACCATTTGAAATGCGGTGATTGTAAAATCCGAATTCGTACCACCATATCTCCATTAGCAAATGAAGGCGAGTTTAGATCCAATGTTGTGGATGCTAATATCAAAGGAGTAAACCCTCTTTCTGAAACAATAAAACAACTGACCATACCTGTTGAAATTTGACACATACATGCCATTACTATGGTGTCCAAGATAGTCTCAATGTTCGGGGATTTGTGTTTGAAGCTTGAATGATAGCCCTGTTATAACCAAAGTATATTTTTCAGATCTCGTACAACAAGTATTCAATCAACTGTAACTGATATAGTCAGCGATATAAACGTGGAGACGTGGCTATTTAATTTCCTATTGAAAACCCATTCTACATTTAATGGTGTGTCGATATCACATTGATCTGAATGGCATTTTTAGTAATTTCAGCTGCAGCCGCGCTGGAGGATAAATAGGTAGTACACGACAGCTGGAAAACTTACAAAATTCCGGAGGCTGTTGGCGAAACAGCTTACAGGTAAGATAATGTTTGATGTATAAGGGAGAAAAAAAGCTTAGCGATCGTGTAATGCGTGTGTTCAAAGGCGGATCCAGAGAGGGGAGTGGGGTGGGGGTGGGATGTCCTGGAAACGCTAGTAAAACAGTTGAAAATGAACTGTGCAGCACCTCTTTCTCAAAAACCTGTGTCCGCCCCTGGTGTTAATGCGAATTCATGAGCATCTGCACAATATAAAAAAGTAAGGTTGAATGGTATACACAACAGTTAAGAATGTTGGTTATCGATTGCGAAGCGATATTCCTGCTATGTGGCATCAGTCTGTAAATAATCAAGTCTGGATCAGACAATCCAGTGATCAACAGCATGAACTTCGATCTACGCAATTGGGATATGATGACATGTGTCAACCAAGTCAGCTAGCCTGACCCCCTGACCCCGTTAGTGGCCTCTTACGACAAACATAGGTTACTTTACATAAGCCTCAAAGGGGGTTGAAGTAGCGTAAGATTATTGTCCTCCTGAGAGGGTACGTAAGTCCAAAACGTCATGGTCAAGTTAGCACTACCAAACCTTTAACCGTACGTTACTTGTTATTTTCAATAATGGCTAAAACTTACCACAATCGCCAGCGGCTGAAGGGATGGTATAAATCCAGCTAGGGTCCATGCAGGAAACAAATGTACTGTAAGTCCCCATGGTCCCTAGTATGGTGATCTACCTTCAGTTGTTGGCGATCTATAGCCTGTTTTTATATTGCTTTGTCCTAATAGTGCGTTTAATTTTAACTTTCCACACTAGTTTTAATTCTAATTGTGATATTCTAGTTGTTTTACTGTCCTTTGATGACAGGTTTTTATAATATACATACATATCCATTTCAATGTCAAATATGTTCTCGTCACGATATGGCTGAAATATTGCCGATGTGACGTTAAATATTAACTCACTCACTCACTCACTACTTTACGTAAAACCAATTCTAACCCGCATCTTCACGGGTACCATAAATAGTCATACTTTGTACTCTGTAAAGTAGTCGACCCGTAAATATTCGGGGTAGAATAGGTCTTCAGCAACGCATGCTTGCCTAAAAAGGCGACTATGCTTGTCGTAAGAGGCGACTAACGGGATCGGGTGGTCAGGCTCGCTGACATGTCACCGGTTCCCAATTGCTCAGATCGATGCTCATGCTGTTGATCACTGGATTGTCTGGTCAAGACTCGATTATTTACTGACCGCCGCCATATAGCTGGAATATTGCTGAGTGCGGCGTAAGCATAAGTTTAAACATACGTCAGCTAAATGGTTTCCAGACTTAATCTTGGCAATTGATTAAACAGAGCAAGCATATTGAACATTGTACAGCTGGTGGCAAGCTTAAATTTTGAACTGACCCTGTGTTAATATAAAATAACCTCGCGTAAAATCTCGTTCGATACCATATTTACGTACCTGGGATATGCGAGCTTCTCACAACGTACATAAACACATGGGCATTAATCAAACACCGCTTACATTTGCTGTTGAATATGCTATGAAAGCCAAATTCAACGTATTATAATGTTAACTTGAACATATTCTACGAAAATAGAATCGAAGTTTTGTAATAATATACTAGCACTCGGGGAGGAATACACACGCAAACATGAATATAGTCTCAAGCAGCGATATCGGGCTCCTTGGCTTTAATACAATCTAAACATTTGTACCTGTCACGTAGATATCGAAAGTAGTAATGGTCACAGTAATGGCTATCACTGTCAGTAATGAGAAATGCGTCATTCATTACCTTTGAATTCTTATGGTCCAGGGTTAGATACAAAGAATTGTGTAGTATGGTTTGGGCAATGACACTTGTGGCTTTGGAGAGTGACTACAACCAAATGATGAGAATTGTTCACTGTGATTCACATTATATGGATTAAAACGTAAGTCTATTTCAAACAACAAAACAAACGTTTCCAATAATCTATTTTCAACAACATATAGAAAAATTACCAAGGACCTTATTGACTCAGCATACTTACATTGCTACCGATCTCATGATTAATCTAGAAAACTTCAGTAAACCAGCAGAAACATCGACCCAGTCGAATTAGACATAAAACGTCAGTACAAGTCATATTCATTCACTACACTTACTTTGGTGGTTCATCTGGTGTAAAATCGACCTAAAATATTCAAACCCTTTCCAGCTGAATATTCATTACCACAGCACGACGTTCCAAATTTATTGATTTCTTGAATTACTATCAACAACTATTTCTGATTCAATGACAAGATTTATCATCTTGCTTTCAAGCACTTGAAAATGTTACTTTAAGTCACACTATCCTTGTGGAGATTCTAGAACTTTACAACGATCTTTCTACTGGCCAATGTGCATTGTCCTCTGCTGGTTGCCGGGTCACGTCGGCATAGCAGGTAACACAAAGGCCGTAGCTGAAGCTAAAGCATATTTTGACAAGCCCTTATCTCCCCGCTGATCCCTTACAGTGACTTCAAACCCACTATCAAAAGTTATACTCGGGACCTCATGCTAAAAAGGTGGGACACCAAAGTAGGAAGAAATAAACTTCATGAATTGAAACCAACAATCGGTTATACCTACTTGGGTTGTCATTCAAGACGTGATGAGTAAGTTTTACGACGATGTCGTATTGGCCACAGCCGGTTTACTCATGACTATCTGCTGAAAACGGATGGAGATGGACCTCGTATGTGTATCTCTGGCGATGAAGTGTCAGAGTCAATGCCAGTGAATTATAACAAGCACTCAACATGCGATTTCACCAATCTATGAGTCCTTTGAACAGGTCAATAACATGTAATTTACTGTTAATCCTATTGCAGGCCACCCTTCGCCCATGTGTTCACTGATGCAATATCTTGTGAAAATACAATGTCGGTTTAGAGAGGGTCAGTTTACACTAAAACATGTTTTGGGACCGGATTTGAGTGTCGGGATTTGGAATAGAGGGATGTCGGATTAGGGGGAGTTTCTTATATGATATCATGAAGGGACAAAAACGGGGCCGGGGTCGCGGGGGTCATGTACCTTCTAAGAAGTTCTGGAGAAGAAATAGTCCCCTCTGAGTTGTTCTTTGGTCTACAGTCAAAACAATTAGTGTTCTGGAATTGCCAGGACTTCAGCTATTAGATGCACACACATGACATACGGACCAGCGGAAATGCCTACCCGCCAAAAACGTCAAATTTACTTGAATCCAACATGGTGACCAAACGGTGCCTCTTAGCCCCATGGGTCCTGCAGTTGAAATTGAAAGTAATCGGATTCCGGAGCTGCCCCAGACATTTGGTACATTTGGACATGTAGTTTTTGGCGCAATCAACTTCAGCGTTGTGGGCACCTTGGTGAATTTTTGGAAGCGATTCTGAGCACTGGTTTAGGAGCTATGTTTGTTACAAAATACGGCGGAATAATAAATAATAATATTCGGAACGATTACAATAGGTCTTCTGCCTGGAGGCAAGGAGCCCTAATTATGAAAAATGTCGGAGAGTATCACATCAATACCTGGTGTAGCCAACCCTCAGACGGATAACATCTCATACTGGCAAGCAAGCACAGAATTGTCAGCATTGGAATCATCTGCTCTTCCAAACCCGTGAAAATCCGGGTTAGAATTGATCTTTAGTAGGCTTGTCGTAACAGGCGTCTAACGGGAATCGGGTGGTCAGGCTCGCTGTTTTTTTTTAATAATTTAAGTCTTTTATTTCCCATTTTCATATATTACAAAAGTAGGTATACAGTAATGTGTATAAATCTGGATAACATCATTTTGGGGGGCATGGTATTATATGATATTTTAGTGAGATTTTAAGTTATGATGTACATAAAGCACTAAGTTTCAACAGGTATGATAATGTACAGCAGATGACACTTAGAAGTGTTTTACAAATCATAGAATGTTGTACCTATTATCTTGACTTGCAATGATGTACATAGTATATCGATGTTTGTATAGAGTATTTGACAGTTTCAGCAAGTGAAAAGATAGCATTAGATATGTACAACATGAATGATAATGTACTACGGATAGCACATAAAATGTATTATGCACATTATTCTTTTGACTTGTAATGATGTACAGAAAATTCAATAATTGTGTGGAGTATTTGTCAGTTTTAACAGGTGAAGAATAAATTTTTTGAGTAGGTAACATTATATACCTACACCATGCATGATAATGTACCACATGGCACATGAAAAGTGTTATACAGTCATAATGTGTTTATAGTTATTCTTTAGACTGATGTACAGAAAATGCTAATAACTGTGTAGAGTGTTTGCAATTTTCAAACATGTGAAGAGATTTTGGGATAATTTTACCCCTAGGGAAGATTTGTCATGTCTGCAAACAGAGTATGAAAAGAAGACCAGAAACTGAAAAAGTTGGAGAATTGACAGTTCTGAAAATAATTTATCTTTGTTGCCTCATAATAGTTAAGTATCTCCTTCTTAACATGTTTAAAACATGGTTTGATTTCCTTTTTACTGCAGTTATAGATATTTTGTTTGGGAATAATACTGATCACATTCAATGGATTGTTATGTTTCCCTTCAAAACCAAGAATAATTTTTTCGTTTGTGAAACAAATTCTTCCTGCGGCTACAGTATTTAACCAAGCTGACAAGTGACTCCATATTCTTTTTGAATGTTCACATTCACTTAGCAGATGAATCACTGTTTCAGGTTCTGCTTCACATAATGTACACATTGGAGAGTCAACATATCCAGTCTTATGTAAATTTGTGTTTGTAAACAGAATGTTATGTACAAGTTTGAACTGAAACCACTTCAAATTAACACTCTGTGTACACCGTTTCGACATCAAATAGATTCCTTCTTGTTCAGATTCCGTATATTCTTTATCAAATTCTTTTTCCCATTTACCTTGTCCAGAAGATTTGGAAAGGCTTGTGTTAAATAAAGATTGATAGAAATATTTACTGCCTTGTTCCTTTCCAAGTTTTAGACAATTGTAAGGAAGAAAAGGACATTGCAATCTTTTCGGATTGTGTTTTTTAATGAACTTATTAATTGATAAGCGCAAGCCCTGATATTTTAAGAAATCTATTGTCATGTCGTATTTTTCTTGAAATTCATCAAAATTATAGAGTCTGTCGTCATACATAAAATCGTTTATAAAGATGATACCTCTTTCAAATAATTCTAAGTAATATACCGGTTTTCCACCAATTTTTATATTGTCATTCCACCAGACGGACTGACAGAGTATCTCAGAAGAGCATTCAACCTTTTCATAGTGTTTAGCTAGAAAATTGGACCATCCCTGCAGTACATCCCTCCAGAAAGTATTTGATACTACTGGTAAGACATTTGTTATTATGTATACAGGGTCTGCCAACCTAATAATATCTGCTAGATCTCTCCTAATTACATATTTAAAGTTCCAGGGTTTTGCAATATTCTTCTTATCCAATTCAATTTCTGTGCAAATATGGTGTTTTGTATATCTGGTACCCCAATTCCTCCACATTTAACTGTTTTTTCATTATACTTCTCCTTACTTTACCTTTTTTCCATTCCATATAAAGTTGAAACATTTCTTTTGAAATCTCTGAATGATTTCAATCGGTGGATTTGGTAGAGTATTAAATAAGTGATTTAGTTTGGGAAGTAGTCAAGCTTTTAGGATAACATTTCTCCCCAATGGAGTTAAATTTCTGATTGACCATATTTTCATTTCCCTTTCAATCGAATTGAGTTTCTTTTCATAATTTAAGTTTTGCATATTTTCCAGATCTATATCAAAATCAATACCTAAAAGTTTAAATTTTGTCTGGTTCCAATACAAATCCATATCTTTGCATAGTTTTATTCGAGATCTTTTTTTTGGAACCAATCCAGATTAATTTTGTCTTTTCTGTATTGACTTTTAATCCTGAAAATCTTGCAAAGAAAATTAAAATGTTGAAAACAGCCCGTAATCCTCTTTCTGATCCATCTAAAGTAAGAGTCGTGTCATCTGCAAATTGTTCTAAAATGTGTTCTATATTACCCATACTAACACCTTTTATTTTTTTATCCTTTCTTATAAGTAGTGCTAAGACTTCTACACATAGGATGAAGATATATGGTGATACTGGGTCGCCCTGGCGACAGCCTCTTGTTATGGGAAAAAATGAACTCGTGTATCCATTTACTAAAACACTAGATTCTATACCCTTAAAAAGTAGTGTAATCCAGTTTTGAATACTCTTACCAAAATTGAAAAACTTCAGGACATTTTGGATAAATTTTCTATCTACAGAGTCAAAGGCTTTTTCAAAGTCAATTAATAGAAGTAAGCCAGGTTTTTGATAAGTTTCTGTATAATCCATCAAGTCGTAAATCAGTCTTGTTATTTCCCCTATATATCTTCCTTCGACAAAGCCTTTTTGGTCCTCATGGATAATTTGTGGTAAAATATTTTTAATCCGGTTTGCAACTACTGCTGAAGCTAGTTTGTAGGATGTGTTTAAGAGAGATATAGGTCTCCAATTTTTTAGAAATTGTTTAGGTTTATTTTTCTTTGGGGTAAGCATGTTATTAGTCCCTGTTTTTGTGTAATTGATAAAGATCCAAGTTTATAGCCATAGTTTAAAGAATTAATTAAGTATTTTCCAAAGTCATTCCAAAAAGATTGGATAAATTCTGCAGTAAATCCGTCAGGGCCTGGGCTTTTTTGAGAGCAGAAAGAATTTCATCATATGTTAACTCTCCCTCTAGGGATGCTAAAACGCCATCAGATAGTTTTTTAATCTCAAAATTGGAAAATAAATTTTCCAAGTCTACCTGTACACATTCTTCACAAGTATACAGCTTTTCATAGAAATGTTTTGTCTCCTCTAAAATTTCATTTTGACATCTTAGTATTTTTCCATCGCTTCTGTATAATTATTCAATGGATTTGTTTAAGAAATTTCTATGTTCTAAATGTAAGAAATATTTGTTAGGTTTTTCCTAAAGTTTGCATTGGATTCCAAAGCTCACAGCTAATAAAAACAAAGTAATTTGGCCAGTACGTTTAACTTTCACTTATTTACACACCCGAATTTGCAATTAAGGAGACAGGTGAGACCGCGTCATGGGTTTCGAGTGAGTAAGTTTAGTTTTACGCCGCGTTTAGCAGTATTCTCCGCAATATCAAGGCAAGGGACACAAGAAATGGGCTTCACACATTGCACACATTTAGGGAATCAAACCGAGTCTTCGGCGTGACGAGCGAACGCTTTCACCACTAGGCTACCCCACCGCCCCTATCGGTACATTGTACACGCAAACCCCGTTGTCTCGAACTCGTCAGGACCAAGGGAAAAGTTCGACTTATCCGAGTGTTCGAAACATCCGTCAGCATAGAAATGACGAAGTACCAATACCAGCAAATCGACAGGGACCGAGAGATGAGTTCGACACAAGCAAGAATGCGTCCAAACCGAGTTCGAGACATTGGGATTCGACTGTATTTTAATTAGATCTAAGCATAAAGAATAAGACAAGACGGGTGTCTTCAACTTTCCAGTAGTCAGTTTTCCCTTTAGGTTGAGCACAACCGTGAAGATCCGGGTGAGAATGAGCCTTCAGTAACCCATGCTTGTCGTAAGAGGCGACTAACAGGATCGGGTGCTCATGCTCGCTGGCTTGGTTGACACATGTCATAGGTTCCCAGTTGCGCAGATCGATGTTCATGCTGTTGATCACTGGATTGTCTGGTGCAGACTCGAATATTTACAGACCGCCGCGATATAGCTGGAATATTGCTGAGTGTGGCGTAAAACTAAACTCACTCACTCACTCAATTGGGTTGAACAATATCGTAACAGCTCCAGCTTTTGGTGTTTACAACTTTTGACGTTCAGTTGAGCATGCTGTTTCTACCAAGAGTTCATATGAATCTTACAGAGATATTCGATCATGGTATTCAAGGGTCCTGTAAAGGTTTTGAAACGTTTTGTGATAGATGTGTGGAGGAGTGAGTGTGTCAAGATTTAGAGTCACATCGGCAATATTGCAGCCATATCGTGACTATGATAATATAGTCACGATATGGCTGCAATATTGCCGATGTGACTCTAAATGTTATTTCGTAAAATTTGTCAACAAAGGACAGTAAACCAAAACTAACATGTAAGCATTAAAAATTATATCACAATACAGGACAATACAATATAAAAACCGGGCTATAGGTCACCAACAACTGAAGGTAGATCACCATACTAGGGACAGATATTTGGATGAGGGTGAGTGAGTGAGTTTTACGCCGCTTTTAGCAATATCCAGCAATATCACTGCAGGGGACACCAGAAATGGGCTTCAGACACTGTACCCATGTAGGGAATCGAACTTTGGTCCTCGGTGCGATATGTGGAGGACATTTCCAGTTTTGACGATTCAGAGACAAAGATGATGTCCGATGTAAACTCCTATTTTGAGCACACGTTCCCACTAGTTTTAGCTAAACAGTAGAAGAATAGGACAGGTGCCACCGGTGTGGCAGACTAGGCTCGCCGTTTTCGTGACCACCAGTTATCATCACCATTTGCTAGAAATTCTTAAACATATGCCCATCATAAGTCAAACTCGTAAAGTCGACTCTGCTCTTAGAGAGGGTGGTTCGGGTAGCCTAGTGGTTACAGCGTCCGCTCCTTATGCTGAAGACCCGGGTTCGATTCCCCTCATGGGTACAATGTGTGAAGCCCATTTCTGGTGTCCCCCGTCGTGATATTGCTGGAATATTGCTAAGAGCGGCGTAAAACTGAACTAACTCACTCTTAGCAGAGGTTCCTTTCGGATATGGAAAGGCTCAAACGCTGTTCTAAGGAACAGCTGTTGCCTTACCTTCTGTTTTATATGGCTTTATTATATGTGGGTCAGGTATAGATCTCAATTTTGTAGAGAACACTGCTGTTCTATCATAGTGTCATTTCATTGGGAGGGTGAGTAGATGTATTTTCTCTTTGGGTTCTGTTATTTATCATCCGTTTGTTTGAACTCAATTGGTAGACAATTGGTAGACAATTGGTAGACTTGCAAAAATGTGTGAGATTGGTATTGGTGAGCTATATCTAAAGCAGCATTTACGAGGCTGAATCGGTATTCAGTGAGAGAGTATGTCGCTTCCAGCAATATCAAGGCCGGGGACACCAGAAATGGGCTTCACACATTGCACCCATATGGGGAATAGAACCCGGGTCTTCAGCGTGACGAGCGGACGCTTTAACCCCTAAGCTACCCCACCCCCGTATTCAAATGTGTTGTGGGTGATATAGTTATATAGTTCTGTTTTGATTGCCTTGATGTATTTGACATGAATCAGACCAGGTTAGATTATGGATAGAACTATAACGGGATCGCGTGGTCAGTTTCGCCGACATGCCTGATACATATCATCGAATCCCATTCGGGTAGACCCGTGAAGATCCGGGTTAGAATTGATCTTCAGTAACCAATGCTTGCCGTAAGAGGCGACTAACGGGATCGGGTGGTCAAGCTCGCTGGCTTGGTTGACTGGTCATCGGTTCCAAATTGCGTAGATCGGTGCTCATGCTGTTGATCACTGGATTGTCTGGTCCAGACTCGATTATATACACACCGCCGCCATATAGCTGGAATATTGCTGAGTGCGGCGTAAAACTAAACACAGTCACTCACCAGTAATGGGACCGGTGGGGTAGCCTAGTGGTTAAAGCGTCCGCTCGTAACACCGAAGATCCGGGTTCGATTCCCCTCCGTGATGTGGCAGGAATATTGTAAGAGCGGCGTACAGCCACACTCACCAACACATATACGCGTCAATTTCATATTTTGTAACTTAACACACATTAACCACAACTTAACAAATTCCCTCCTTTTGCGTTCCTAAAGGCCCACAACCTTTACATACGTTAATGTACGAGGCTGTTATGTTAGTTACGCGTTAGAACTGATCTTCAGCAACCCATGCTGAGTTGACTAACGGGTTCGAGCAGTCAGGCTTGCTGACTTGGTTAATGCTTGTAATAAGGGCTTTAACGATGCATCGAACTATCGATGGATTGCTCCGATAGCAATTGATCGATGGTAGAAACGAAAAACTATCGATACATCTATAGCATGTGTAAGTATCGATTGTTTAGTAATTGACTTCCGTTGATAAATGCGCAGCGCAAAATACAGGATGTTTGGGTGCAGGAAATGACTTCAAATGAGACAAGAGAACCATTGCAATAGTATTGGTCGCAATAGACTATCGCTAGTGTCGCTAGTGTTTAGTGTTCGGCGATCTAAAAATTGTAGAACATGTTTATATATAATACACTTTCTCTTCTCTGTAGGATGGTGAGGTGAGGTGAAATTCGGTTTTACGTCGTGCTTGAGAATATTTTACTCATATGACGACGTGCATGCGTGTGTATGTGTATGTGCGGCTGCTTGTACTAGCCCAGACTGAAGCTGGTTTTATAGTGCTAGCCAACTGAGATACCATGCCGCAGTGAAGCATGAATACCCCACCCAGACACATTATACTGACTCCGAGCCGACCAGTCCTTGTTGTACCCATTAATGCCGAGCGCCAGGCAGGGACCAACACGTACCATATTTTAACGTCTTTTGGTATGACGCGGTCGGGGATCTAACACGCGACCTTCCGCTCTCCGGGCGGACGCTCTAACCACTACACCACGGAGGCGGTCTCTCTGTAGGATGGGCAATGTACTTGTAGATATAGACATTTGTTTCATTAGAGAACACATACGCCAAGTCATTCAAAGACATAATTTTGGTGAAATACTTTATAATATTTTTAATATAGTGTTTAATTTACATTGATGACCAAGAACGCCAAACGCCAACGTCTTCTAATACATCAATATATTGCCGTGTGAGATCATAGTATTCTCTCAGTGTGTATTTGTAAATATATCTAAATAGGTCTGGAGCGGATAAGAGGAACTAGCTCTATGCCGTATTGAGAAACCTGAGACCCACTCTAAGAGATAAAATGAGTTACCAGATTACACTCATTATGTTCTCGCATCTAAGATAATGCAGAGGTCATGCGTTCCTCAAAAGTCCAGTGTCCTTTGGGGTTATTCTGTAAACGTAGCTCGGAACATACTCCACTCCCTAGGATTACAAAATATCTAAGGTGAGGCACCTACCATTATTACAGACCCGTGAAGGTCCGGGTTAGAATGAACCTTTAGTAACCCATGCTCGCCGTAAGAGGCGACTAACGGGATCGGGTGGTCAGGCTCGCTGGCTTGATTGACACATGTCAACGTATCCCAGTTGCATAGATCGATGCTCATGCTGTTGATCACTGGATTGTCTGGTCCAGACTCGATTATTTGCAGACCGCCGCCATATAGCTGGAATATTGCTGAGTGTGGCGTAAAACTAAACTTACTCACTCACTTACCATTATTTGGGTTACCACACACAACAGCATGAACAAACCGAAACATGAGTGTCATTAACCTATTCAGACAATGACCTAATAATGTCAATTTCTATAGCGCAATATCCACGTTGAATACCATGCTCAAAGCGCTTTGAAATAGGTAGGACAGAGTTTTAGAGGTATGCCACCTGGAAGATAGGTCTTGAGTATAGTTTTAGAAGTTGAGAAATTGTCACATGATTTCAGATTTTCTAGCAGTAGGTTCCATTGGACTGTTGCTGTGTAAGAGAAAGACCGTCTGCCATAGGCCTTTGTTGTTGTTTTTTAGAACTTGCAGCAAGTTATTTGTCTGAGATCTCAGAGATCAAGATTGAAAGTATGACCTGAGAAGCTAATGCAGATAGACTGGCGCTTTACTCTGGATGCACTGGAATGTTATACACAAGGTTTTGTATATAATCCTCTCTTGTATAGGTAGCCAGTGCAGGCATCGGAGTATTGGTGTTATGTGTTCTCGTTTTGGACACATGGTCACAATTCTCGCTGCGGTGTTTTGTACATGATGTAGTTTGTTGATTAATCCTTTGGGAGATCCCGTCGAACATTGCAGTAGTCCAGACGGGATAATATTAATGACCTCACCAGCTTGATTGTAGCACCTTTTAGATCAGCTTGCGGATCTTGCTGATGTTACGGATGTACATCTAACACGTCTTGGCTGGTTGATGTACATGCTTCTCCATTGACAGTTATTCAGGCGTTGACAAGCCCTGTCACGACTGGCAGCATGATGTCTGTGTTTTCACAAAGGAGTTTTGTATTGGTACTTTGCGCTGAATGTGACTAATAGATGCTCACAGATTGAACTATTTACATATTGTTCTAATGTTCTAATAGATCTTGAACTTAAAATATAGAACAGACGTTATCGCGCGTGTGTGATTTGGGATGGCAAAATCCTTTTAGGGGAATAAGCATTGTTTTTAGCAAGCATTGGGGTGCCAGTCAATTGTGGAGAATCTTTCTGAGAAACCACTGTATCCTGTCTACAAGCAGTGTGTGGAACAGAATAGCAGTCCAACCGACTCCTTTTGATGGATGAACTCAGCTGGTCTTAAATGTGAAACAGAGGGCTTCTTTTTCCTGCCCAAGGCCAGTCACTTGCCACTCGCAATCGCCAAAATGTGATTCTTAAAAAAAAATATTAATATGAAACATCGAGTGTGTGGATGCTGTTCATTCGCACAAACAGCCTATTTTAGAGTGAGTGTTCTCGGTGCCCTTTGATTTGGTACCTCCTGATCTGTTGGCGCAGATCAGGAGACTGTCCGGGTTCTCCACAGGGAGCACAGCCCTTCTGACACTCTGGGTAATGCAGAAGGCTGCAGTGTTGGGGAGCCTTCATATTCTCCGGAAAGTTCTTGGTGGGTTCGACTAGACAGCGCTTTCTGGGAGTAGTCCCATTCGTTATCTGGGCTGCGTGTAGAAGGAGCACACCTGACCTGATGAAGAGCCTTACTGTGCGAGGATCTCCCGAACCCTCTCTAGAGCTTAGTGGTTAATGCGTCCGTTGGTCAGGCCAAAGACCTGGGTTTGATTCCCGACATGGACACAAACTTACTTAAGGTATAACGTACGTTAACACACTCAGACA